ACACACACACACACACACACACACACACACACACACACACACACACAATGGAATATTACTCAGCCATTGAAAAGAAAGAAATCTTTCCTTTTGCAACTATGTGGATGGAACTAAAGTGTATTATGCTAAGTGAAATAAGTCAGTCGAGAAAGACAAATACCATATGATTTCACTCATATGTGGAGTTTAAGAAACAAAATAGATGAACATAGGGGAAGGGAAACAGAAGTAAAATAAGATGAAAACAGAGAGGGAGGCAAACCATAAGAGACTATAGGGAACAAACTTAGGGTTGCTGGAGGGGAGGTAGATGGGGGGATGGGACAATTGGGTGATGGGCATTAAAGAGGGCACAAAACGGCAATCCAATATCAAGAGCAGATTTCCTGACTAGACTAGAATAAACAAGATAAAAGTACTAAAAAGATATGATGGAAGGAAATAACTGTCCTTTCACTTGTAAACTGAAAGTCATAGCCTTTAACTTACAAATTAACAAAAGGTATATATCTATACCTGGCATAACCAGGTAAGAACCTTGTGGTACAGCTATACCCCACCCACTGAAAACAGGAACCAAAATAGCTAACTCCATAATGGGAGAAGATTTTATTTATTATAAATAAGCTGGTAGTGAATATTAAACCCACCCAAATGCAGACTTAAGTAATTTTATAATGTAATTTTTAAAGAGGATATAAAAGCCATGAATCTTTAAAATATGTATAATGCAAAATACCATTTCAAAATAACAGATATCTGAAAACTTTCCAAAGGAAATGTAAAGTGGGAACAAGTTCTCTAATTTTCCTTATTTTGCATGGCAAAATTAATACTCTCCATTTTTGAGGATGATAACTGGGAAAATATAAGTTCGACTATTTATGTAAATACATCTACTAAAGGAATTTTTAAAATAATGCATTCTTTGCAAATTACTAAAGACAAACCAGGGCTAGGATCTTGAACAAATAGCAGAATAATAACAAAGGCAGCACATGAAATCCCACTACAAACTGAAAGAAAAACAAAATGAACAAAACTAAAATAAAATTATGAAAGACCAAACCAATTGTCTATGCAAATAAATGCAAGTGGTTCTGATTCCTTTTCAGTAACAAATATTTCAATAGCATAAGTGCTTCAGTAACACAAATATGTTCAGAATGGGCCCAAATTCCAAATCCCACTATAGCTAAAACAGTGCTAAAAGAGAACAAAGGTAAATGGATATAAAAATATATGAGAGAAAAATATAAATTAAAACAAAGCATATGTGATAATACTAATATACAAATAAGATATGTATATATACATATATTATAATAAATAAATAATAAAATATATTTAATATTTTATATATATAATATTCAAAAGGTGATTATGTCCAGGTGCTTATATTTAGGTGCTATGACAACCATTGTATATAAAAAAAAGCCTAATTCAATTTCAAAAACTGAAGGAAATATTTAAGTTATTCACAATGTGAGTTTCTCTATTAACCGTTTAGAGTTCTGGATTGTCTATAGGACATATAGTTGAGAGTCATAAATTGTTATATCATTTTTTTTTCTTTCTTGCAGAGCAACAAAACTTTCTGGAACAACCGTGGGCCTTGCTTTCATGTCTACAATGTGTTCTCCTTATCATTCTGTTGGCATAGTTCAGGTTTGTTTGAAGATAAATAGTTGGTTCTACAATTCAAGTGTGTCAAATGCTCTTTTTTCTGAATCATGTAGTTTTTTGTTGTTGTTATTGTTGTTGATATGGTAAATAACATGGATTGAATTTCAAATGTTGAAACAGTCTTGCATATCCAGTATAAACCCAGCATGGTCATAATGCATTATCTTTCTTATATCTTGCTGGATTCAACAAGCTAACATATCTTGAGGATTTCTATATTCTATATAATCATGAGGGATATTAGTCTGTAGTTGTCTTTTCCTGTTACCTGTTTTTCAAGTTTTGTTATTAGGGCAAATCTGGTCACATAAAATGATATATTCCCAACTCTTCCATTTTCTGGAATGTCTTAGCAGAATTGGCATTACTACTTCCTAAAATATTTGGTACAATTCATCAGTAAAACCATATGGGTCTGGCATTGTCCTTATGGAAAGGTTTTTAACTACAAATACCATTTCTTCCATAGATACAGGACTATTCAGGTTATTTATCTTTTCTTGAATAACCTTGGCCATTTGGATCTTTAAGGAAAGTGTCCATTTCATTTAAGTTGGCAAAAATTTGTTGATGATATTCTTATAATATCCTTTTTTTATATCTGTAGTGATGTCCTCTCTCATTCATGATATTAGTAATTTATGTCTTTTTCTCATGGTCAGTCTCACTAAGAGTTTATTAATTTTATTCATTTCTAAGAAACTGCTTTTGTTTTATTGATGCTCTGTGGTTTTCCTTCTTTCAGTTTCATTGATTTCTGCTTTTCTCTTGATTATTGAATTTCTTTTGCTTTCTCTGCACTTAATTTGTTCTTTTTTTTTTTCCTATTACTTAAGGGAGAATTTTAGATCATTCATTTGAGACTTCTTCTTTTCAAATGTAAACATTTAAAGCATAAATTTCCTGCCATGCACTGCTTTAGCTGAACCCATCATATTTAGATATGTGTGTTTTCATTCAGTTAAAAATATTTTCTAATTTCTTTTTTGATCTCCTTTTTGATTCATGTATTATTTAGGAGTGTACTGTAATAATTTCCATTATGGTTTTTTTTAGTTTCATGTTGTTATGATCTGCTTATTCATTTGCTAGGGCTGCCATAACAAAATACCCCAGAGTGCATGGCTTAAACAACAGAAATGTATTTTCTCAGAGTTTTGGAGGTTAAAAATCCAAGATCCAGATGTTGGTAGGTTTGGTTTCTCCTGAGGTCTCCCCCGTTGGCTTGCAGATGGCCACCTTCTTGCTGTGTCCTCACATGGCTTTTCCTCTGTGCACACATCCCTTCCTCTTTAGTCCTGTTGTATTAGGGCCCCAGGATCATAGTCTCATTTAACTTTAATTATCTCCTCAGAAGCCCTATCTCCAAATACAGTCACATTGGTGGTTAGGGCTTCAACATATGAATTGGAATGTGTGTGTGGGTGGGCACAATTCAGTCCATAATAGTCTAGGAACATACATAGTAGAATTTCAATATTTTAAAACTTTTTGAGGTTTGTTCTTGGTCAGTACCGCATATGCACTTTAAAAAGAATACCTTCTGCTGTTATTGGATGGAGCATTCTGTAATTGTCAGTTATGTCAAGTTAACTTATAGTGTTGTTCAGTTCTTTTGACTCATTGATGTAGAGAGAGTAGTTAAGTATCCAAGTATAATTGTAGATTTGTCTGTTCTTTCAAATCTATAAATTTTCACTTCATGTATTTTGAAGCTCTGTTGTTAAACAAATACAGAAATAGAGTTGTCATGTCTTTTTAGAGAATTAATCCATTTATTATTTCATGTTCCTCTTTTTTCCTGAAATATTCCTGTTATGAAGTCTACCTTGTCTGTTATCATTATAGTTACTCTGACATTTTGTGGCTAAAGTTTGCTTGATACAACCTTTTCCTTACTTGTATTTTTAGCATATATTTTTCTCTGCATTTAAAGGTTTCTGGTAGACAGTATATACTTGGCTTTTACTTTTTATCTAATCTGACAATCTCTGTCTTTTATTTGGTGTATTTAAATCATTTATATGTAATATAATTTTTGATATTGTTGAACTAAAATCTTACATTTTGCTAGATCTTTGCTATTCCTTCTATTCTATATTTTTCTACCCTCTTTAGGATTGAGGATTTTTGAAAATAATTTCATTTATTTTCATTATTAGCTTTTCATTTTTATCTCTCTTTATTTTTAATGGTTGTCTTTGTTTATTATATACCTCCGCTTGTCTGTTTTTACCTTGAAATACTCTTGTCCTCAGTGTGCCTGGGTGGTGCTGTCAGTTAAGCATCAGACACCTGGTTTCACCTCAGGTTGTGATCTAAGGGTTGTGAGATCGATCTCCACGTTGGGCTCCATGCTCAGCATGGAGTCTGCTTAAGACTCTCTCCCTCTGCCCCTCCTCCCTGCACACTCCCTCTCTCTAAAAAAATAAATAAAATCTTAAAAAAAAGAAGAAATATTCTTCAGCTGCTTCACATGTAGTATAAGGATATTATAGGAGTATACCTCTAATTACTCCCTTCCATTTTTTGTGCTATTGTTATCATATGCTTAACTTTACATACATTAAAAATACACAACATATTGTTACTAATTTTTCTTAGTCTTTCTCAGTGCAATTTAAAATAAGAAAAAAATAATATTATGCTTACCTTATCTTTACCTACACTCACCTTTATCACATTCCCAACACTCTCCATTACTTTTTTTAACACTCTCCGTTTCTTTTTTTTACCTTTTTTATTTTTTTAATTTAATTTTATTATGTTATGTTAATCACCATTCATTACATCATTAGTTTTTGATGACTGTTCCATGATTCATTGTTTGCATATAACCCCAGTGCTCCATTCAATACATGCTCTGTTTAATACCCATCACCAGGCTAACACATTGCCCCACCTCTCTCCCCTTTAGAATCCTCAGTTTGTTTCTGAGAGTCCATAGTCTCTCATGCTACATCTCCCCATCAGGTTTGCCCCCTTCATTTTTCCCTTCCTACTGTCTTTTTTTTTTTTTAACATATAATGTATTATTGGTTTCAGAGGCACAGGTATGTGATTCATCAGTCTTACACAATTCACAGTGCTAACCATAGCACATACCCTCCCCAATGTCTATCACTCAGCCACCCCATCCCTCCCAACACAACCACTCCAGCAACCCTAAGTTTTTTTCCTGAGATTAAGAATTCCTCATATCAGTGAGGTCATATGATACATGTCTTTCTCTGATTGACTTATTTCGCTTAGCATAGTACCCTCTAGTTCCATCCATGTTGTTGCAAATGGCAAGATTTCCAGGTTTTTTTTCTGATGGCTGCATAATATTCCATTGTATATATACCACATCTTATTTATCCATTCATCTGTTGATGGACATCGTGGCTCTTTCCATAGTTTAGCTGTTGTGGACGTTGCTGCTATAAACATCGGGGTACACATACCCCTTCGGATCCCTACATTTGTATCTTTGGGGTAAATACCCAGTAATGCAATGGCTAGGTTGTATGGTAGCTCTACTTTCAACTTTTTGAGGAACCTCCATACTGCTTTCCAGAGTGGCTGTACCAGCTTGCATTCCCACTAACAGTGTAGGAGAGTTCCCCTTTCTCCGCATCCTTGCCAACATTTGTCATTTCCTGGCTTGTTAATTTTAGCCATTCTGACTGCTGTGAGGTGGCATCTCATTGATGTTTTGATTTGGATTTCCCTGATGCAGAGGGATGTTGAGCACTTTTTCATGTGTCTGTTGTCCATTTGGATGTCTTCTTTGGAAAAATGTCTGTTCATGTCTTCTGCCCATTTCTTGATTGGATTATTTGTTCTTTGGGTGTTGAGTTTGATAAGTTCTTTATAGATTTTGGATACTAGCCCTTTATGTGATATGTCACTTGCAAATATCTCCTCCCATTCTATCGGTTATCTTTTGGTTTTGTTGACTGTTTTCTTTGCTGTGCAAAATCTTTTTATCTTGATGAAGTCCCAATAGTTAATTTTTGCCATTGCTTCCCTTGCCTTTGGTAATGTTTCTAGGAAGAAGTTGTTGCAGCTGAAGTCAAAGAGGTTGCTGCCTTGGTTCTCCTTTAGGATTTTGATGGACTCCTGTCTCACATCTAGGTCTTTCAACCATTTTGAGTCTATTTTTGTGTGTGGTGTAAGGAAATGGTCCAGTTTCATTCTTCTGCATGTGGCTGTCCAATTTTCCCAACACCATTTGTTGAAGAGACTGTCTTTTTGCCATTGGACATTCTTCCCTGCTTTGTCGAACATGAGTTGACCATAGAGTTGAGGGTCCATTTCTGGGCTCTCTCTTCTGTTCCATTGATCTATGTGTCTGTTTTTGTGCAGGTACCATACTGACTTGATGATGACAGCTTTGTAATAGTGCTTCAAGTCCGGAAATGTGATGCCACTGGCCTTGCTTTTCTTTTTCAACATTCTTCTGGCTATTTGGGGTCTTTTCTGGTTCCATACAAATTTTAGGATTATCTGTTCCATTTCTTTGAAAAAAGTGGATGGTATTTCGATAGGGATTGCTTTGAATGTGTAGATTGCTCTAGGTAGCATTGACATCTTCACAATATTTCTTCTTCCAATCCATGAGCATGGAATGTTTTTACATTTTTTGTGTCTTCCTCAATTTCTTTCATGAGTATTCTATAGTTTTCTGAGTACAGATTCTTTGCCTCTTTGGTTAGATTTATTCCTAGGTATCTTATGGTTTTGGGTGCAGTTGTAAATGGGATCTACTCCTTAATTTCTTTCTTCTGTCTTGTTGTGGGTATATAGGAATGCCACTGATTTCTGTGCAATGATTTTATATCCTGCCACTTGACTGAATTCCTCTGTGAGTTCTAGCAGTTTTGGGGTGGAGCCTTTTGGGTTTTCCACATAAAGGTCATATCATCTGCAAACAGTGAGAGTTTCACTTCTTTGCTGATTTGGATGCCTTTTATTTCTCTTTGTTGTCTGATTGCTAT